ATTTCGAAAACTTCATTCTTCAAACTTTTGACTTTTAAATTTTTTTTCAATTTTATTCTTTCTTTGATTTCCTATTTTTTAATACAATGTTTATTTATATTTACGCTTGAAAATATACTTAACGTCAAATATAATTTTGTTAAGATTCAAGAAAATTAATCGATAATTTGTAATAACTATAATTTTGTCGTAATTATCAATTTAAATTTCCAATTCATAAATCCTGCAAACTCATCAATCTTTACTCATGACACTTTACTCATGACTTGCAATGGTTTCTTTCAGTATACAATTTCCATGATTCACAAGCATCAATGAATAAATAACATTTCAGATAATTGAGACGAGTCTGGCAATTATTTTCTTTTACTGTATCAAAAGGTTGGATATGCTACAAATTAGACAAATAGTTTTTTTTTTTTCATAGTATTTGAGCTTCAATGAATAATTTGTTTTCGTATTTTTTGATTCTATTTTTATACTTAATCAGATAATAGAATTATAGATAATAGATAATAGATAATAGAATTAATCAAAATTGTTGGTTATTGGTTATATGGCACCTAAAATAATCGAATCGTAATATCTTTTGTGAACGTGATAAAACACTTATTATATTTTTATGAATTTTTAAATAGTTTTTCAAATTTTATCACACGGGTATATTTCCAATGAAAATTCGATTCTAGGAATTGAATTTAAAAATTATTATTTTGAATGATATAATATAGACATAGGTGATACATTATTAATTCTATTCAGTTATTTGGCTAATTGATAAAACTTCTTCTCGAGGGGGATTATATGTATAAATAGAATGTCTTGCAGTGATAAACATTTATTTTCCTCGCAGACTCTTACATTTAAGATTCTGCAATATCAAATAGAAATGAAAATATTTTTTAATATTTCCTACATATGTCGATCGAAATCCATTTTTATTGCATTTAATTCTTATTATTTTTATAATTTGTGTATATTTCTTTTTCATGTTTTTCAAAATTGCAAAAGTTAAATGAATTTTACAATATAAATTTATTTTTTAACTTGATAATTCAATGTATCTTATCTAAATTTAATTCAAATCATGGAAATAATTATAATTTTTAATTTCTTAAAGATTACTAAATTCTATAATTAATACTTTATCGTGTATATATATTAAAATTAACTTACCAATTTATATCTCGTTGGAAAATAGAAAACGAAGATGAGTTTGTCCACTGCAATTATCATTGGAGGTGCAAGAATATTTCGGAAGGATCGTAAAATTATCAAACTTATCATTATGATTGTAATGACACCTACAATTAACCTGAAAATTGATCGAAAAAAGAAAAAGAAAATTAATGAAAAAAATCTTTTTAAAATGCAAAAACTGTTAATAAATGTTAGTACAATCTTTAATAAATGGAAATGCAAAATTTGAGCAAATAATTAAAATTTAAAACAGAAATAATCACACTTTACACATTCAATTAATAATACAAACAAAGTGAAGTGCTATTGTTAATATTTTGACATAAATTGAAAGTAATTCTCTTTATCACTATATTTTTACATACTTGAACGCGAAACGAGACGCCTACTATCTCGAATGACAGTGCTTCCATACATTCCTTTAAAACATAAATAAATTATCGTGTTCTGTTTGTATAAATATATAAGATGTAAAAAAATTTGTAGAAAGTTTAGAAGGAAATACATTTATCATAATGATCTATTATATTATATTTTTAAATAATTAAATGATTCCCAAAGGATATGCGTTAGTACAATTTGAGACGAAATTAAATAGGTGCGCCGTCTGGAAAGAGCAAGTATATTTTATTATTTTATTTATATCAATTACACAATTATATTAAATTATATAAATTTAATTATTATTATATTAAATTATATAAAGTCAATTTTTTTACAAAAGTAATAAATTTTGAAATTTTAATACGAAATATGATTAAAAAAAATTTGGGAATCATTGAATTAAAAGATTAATCTATAGAATATAATTTTTTAAATAGTTTTTCGAAGAAAATGCAAATCTTACCAAATATGACTCAAGAAGAAGTAATCGAAAATAGCCCAGGAGCCTTTCCAGTGCATAATGCAAGCAATTCCAAAGACATACGTGTACAGAATTTGCAAGCTCTTGCAATAGATCTTGCTCACCCAGGTTTTTTTTTCCCATATTTTAATGGTATAAGTGTGCATAAAATTCTTCATAATCGCAAAATTTATGTGTATCAGAAGACCCATAAAAAATATGAACAATCCAGGAAACCTTGGGACAATGGATAATTTAATCTAGTTTCTTGTAGATCTTGTCATAAATTTTCTTTAAAGTTAAGTTAAATCGTTAAAATGCTTCATTTTAATCTTCTGGCAATCGATAATTTTCTTCTTACTTGTCAAAATAATTTAAATAATTCAAATTGTAAATCGTTAATTTTAATTGAAAAACTATTAAAACTATTATTTTTATTTACAGACTTTGCGTATCTTTTATCTACTACACGGTTAATATTTCGTCTAGACAAATTTAAACTTACTCATCTTTATAAATGTCCATCAATGTCCATGTTCCTCTCCAAAAACCGATGGTCATCGGAGCAATAAAATTAAACGACAGAAAAACGTCGATTATCGATAAAATTCGTTTCTTCTTCTTCAATTTTGGACCGATAAGATCGATCTGATCGAACAAGAAATTTAATCACGAAACAATATAAAAAATTCATCACGAATCGCGTTCAAATATGTAAAACGTAACAAAGAATTACCTTAGAATCGTTCTTTATTCGACCATCTTCGTTTATTTTCGATTCTTTCAATTTTTGCAATTCCTTTTCTTCGTTTGTCTCATCCATATCACTGTTATTCGAATCACTTTGTTCAATATTTTTCTGTAGATCGATTCTCAATGAAAGAAAAACATCGTTTTTTGGCTGATCTAACTTTTTAAAACGTTCTTTAACAATGTTCTCAAAAGATATCCTCAAAACTTCCGATTCGGCGTAATCATGCCTTTTGAACTCTTTAAAAATATCATTTAAACTTTTTGTCTTTCTCGCGCTCAAATTTAACATATTTAAGGATCAAAGGTATCGACACTTATGACACGACGATCGGACGTTTCGTGTCCGTTTAATATTAGTGATAAGCAAACCACTTTAAAGTAAACTGAACTTCTATCATCATTGCAGTGTGAATAATAATACGTCTGCGCAAAATCCACATTCACTTTGGTGTATTTTTCTCATTCATATCTAATAGCATTCGAATCAGTTGGGGATAAGCTTCATTAGGGATAGTCTGATCGTGGGATGAATATTTGCAAATAGATAGAATTAATTTTAGTTTGATTGCTATCTGCCGTAACATGACGCATAAGGAAATATATATGCGAATAGATAAGATTGTCTTGATCGATGTTATTAAAGATTATGAAATTAGTAACAATTATCAATAATAAAAATCTGGTAAAGGAGGATAGACGATTGAAATGAATATTTTTACAAAATATATGAATTTTTTTAATTTATTTTATTTTCTATATATTATTTGCAAACTTGAAGAATATTTTCTTCGTTTATGTATCCAATCGTTTGATGTATCCAATCTCTTAATTGGTTGGATTTACATTATATTCTTATATTTAGAGTGTCTATTTTTCAACATTTTATCATTTTTCTTTTATAGATAAACAAAATATCACTTTGATTATAAGTGAGACAATTATACAGGAGACGATCAATGAGATTAAAATCTATTTCTGAACGTAATCTCATAAACAGATGGTTTATACTTTGTAATAAAATCGATAAAAGCATTATTACAACTCTTTCTTCATTCATTAATTATTATTAATCCAGATGATTAAATACAAATAATCTTAAATCTGAACATAAACATTTCTAATTAACCATCCAAATGGAAAAGTTGCGAATTTCTTAGAAACGTACAACGAAACTTGGCCACCTTGAAAAATCTTGAAAAATCTTGAAAAATCTTGAAAAATCCAGAATCGCGCAAAGAAAAAGATTCACTTGAAATTGTAATACTTTGCTTGCTTTACTTATTATTGAAACAGAAAAAATTCTTCGATATAACTCGTGTTGGAGCAGACAAATTTTTACAATATCGAATATTTTATTGAGATCTCGTTATTAGAATTTATTACTTGATATTTGAGAGAGAAAAATTGGTAAAAAGTTACAAAATGACAACATTTTTATGGCGGTATAAACGACGTCACGAGTATAATGAACTTCGAAGGATAGTTAATGCGAAGTATCAACAAGAAGTTTATAAGCATACTTCATTTATACATTTTTCAACAGCGCTTCCTTAAGTGCCACTGATAAAGTTAATTGTGGCGTCCGCCAAGATACCTGCTTTGTTTCGATAAATGTATCCAAAAGATAAGATGTTAATTGTCGAAATGCATTATCGAATGCACTTATAAATTGTATTGAAATATGCGTTGAAAAACACGTGCATTTGTTCTATTAATATTAAATTTGTTAATATTTCAAGATGATGCAGGTGATAATATAATCTGAGTGTTGATAAATGCATATTATAAAATGATATTAATAACTCTTATTTTTTTTTTTTTACGTAAGAAGAAATTAAATTTGTCAGACGAAATTAAAATATTGATTGTTTAAATTTATATTGATGATAATTCTGAAGAATAAACGTTTAATATTTACAGTGTCTTCATCTGTGGACAATGGAATCACTGAGGTATTGGCAGAGATTTCTTTATAATCACTTACGATATTTTCGATTTGACAGATTTCTAATTGATATTGATTTTATGTATCCGTCTGGCGAATTGTGTACGATTGTCACGGTAAGTAAAGATTTTATTTTCTGATGATGTGACTAAAAGCTGGATCATTCTTAACTTTTGTTCTTTTTTCTATATCTAAAAAATTAAAAAATTAAAAATTAGATGGAAGAAGAATGGTTTTTTCCTGTAAGAAAAATAAAAATTCTGTATAGGTTTCAATTTATTATAATTACATTACATCGACAGATGTACACCGCCTTCGGAAAGCTCTGTCCTTATAAAAATACATAACAAAGCTCGATCGCGTAGCAAGCAAGATATCGATAAATTAGGAAGCGAAACTAGCGGGCCGTTAAATACAGTCGTTCTCTTATTTTGTACCTCGAATATAAACTCGTGATCCTTTTGTGCGTATCCAAAAGTATGTCGTTCTCGTTTTCAAAAAAAAAAAAAAAAAAAAGAATAAAAATAATAAATAAAAAAAAAAAAAGAAAAAAAAGCACCTCGTCAGAGGTGTCGTCGGTAACTTCGTTCATTATTATGCGACTTCGATTATTATGCGATACTATCTGTGTCTTTTCGTTTTTTTCTATATCCTCTTCATCCTCGTTTCTTCGTTTTTTTTTCATTCTTCGTTTCTCTCTTAAGGAATCGTAGAAAAAACAATGGAAATAAGAAACAATTCGTTTACACCATTTCTCGATGATAATATTTTATAATCGTATTATAATATTAATTATTATGTTTCTCTCTATCGTTTCGAACTAGCACCAATGACTATCGCGTTAAGCGATCACGTTGAAGTAATCGGTCAGTGGACGTTTCGTTCTCGATTTCATAATCGAACCGCTCTTTCCCTACTCTCCCTCGAGTTATAAACGCAACGTATAAAAAATAAAGTCGAACAAGTATGTATATATTTATTTTCTTCGTTACGTACTAACGTAAAAGTCACGGATACTCCCTGAAAGGTTCTACGGTACGTACACATTAATTATGCCGTCTTCCTTTGATCGTTCCGCGGTTATTTTCTTCTGCACACAATACAAGCGATTCGTTAATATTCGTTAATAATCGTAAATATAATTTAATCGTCAACATTTTTTTCTCGCGCATTCCATGTGACATTAATCCATTTCTCTCTCGTCCGCACGCGCTCTCGCACACACTCGCTCATTCGTTTGTTTTTTTCTTTTTCTTTTTTCTTTTTTTTTTTTTTTTTAAAGACAAACGAAAAAAAACTGGAGGGAGGGAGGAAAACTAATCAATTGTCAACGAAACGATATCTACAATACGTATCGTATAAATACAAACGCGGTAATGTTACATGGAATGTCGGGCTAAATGATCGAAAATCGGAAACGGATCCATCGAGTATAAACCGTGCAACTCGAAGGATCGTACGTTATTCGTACGTCCTCGTGGATCTCTCCTTTTTTTTTTCTTCTATGCTCTGTCTCTCGTCGTATAATCGTTTGTATTTTCGACTCTTCGTGATATTCGGGGACAAGAGGAAAAGTATTATGCAAATATTGCACCAAGATCACAATAATTGTATAGAACGAGTAAGTAAACGGATGCTATGGGTCGTACAATGACGATCGTTTTTGGTCCGTAACGCGTGCTTTACGCACAAGTACAAACATATCACACGTGTAAAATCGTCGTCTGTAGAAGGAACGTGTCTTTGACCATTTTTTGTTACAATGTATTCCTCCATCGAGACAGTGGAACACGTTTTACTACTTGTCTCTATTCACTGCTCGATTGCCTCGATGAAGAAGCATTCCGATCGATGAAAGGATTTGTAAGAAAAAAAACAAATCTTTTCTCATTCATCGATCGCTCGATACCATCGACGGATCGCCATACGACAGACTAGTTAAGTAGGTACGCAGATCGTGCGTGATCTCGCGCTTCCGCTTCCCGCGACTCCTCTGGATGTTACGATTGTAAGTTCTTCTGGGTCCGGCGAAGTCGGCGCGCCCGAGATTAGACTTCTTTATCGTTAGATCGGCGGTGGCCCGTTCGGATACACGACCATTGGCGTGAAGCTTCTGGCGAGGTTGTTCGACAGCATGCAGCTGTAGTCTTCTTCGGCGGAAGGAACCAGAGAGGCGACGCCGAGGAATAGAAGCATCAACGCCTGGATCGGCAGGGAAACGCGCAACACGCGGCCCAGGAAACGGTATCCCCGAGACAATACCGTACGTTCGCCATCGTCACCACTGAAACAGGCGCGTAAATTTCGTATTCGCTAGGATTTCTTTTACAGAAATGTTGGAAAATTATACTTTTATTTTAATTTCGGATGAGAGTTTGAAAGTAGAAAACTCTTAACACGTTCGCACTTGAAATAAAAAGTTGAAAAAAATTGCAATAGTTTATTGATGATAAAAATCATATCGGAAGAACAAAATTCTTTCTACAAAAAGATAGATGATATCATATAATGTATATTTTTGTATCGTTAGACGAGAACGTGTTAAAATGATCTGGATCTGTATCTAATTCAGGAATCTGCCTGAGCTAATTTTCCAAGTTTTTCATTTCATATTGAGAATCATATTTGAAAATAATTGTTAACCGTATTTATTGTATCTTATTTATATAGAATTGGCTTGAAAATATGTTGGAAAATGTAGCTCGGAACTTGAAAAACGGAAAATGAAGAAAACATACTGTGTGCCAGGTGCGTCGTGGGGCTGAACGGTTCCAGAGGCAGCTTCGTCGAGCAACTACAATACAATAAAAGAGAAAACACAAACAATAAAGTACTGTGCGTGTGAATGCTACTATTACAAGGCACGAAATAATAAAATTCTAATTCAGAATATTTAATTTGTATTATACACATATGTATATTTGTAAAATATAAAATAGAAACTATTCACGAAAGGTTAAAAATATATATCCATATTTAATTAAATACGAAAGACATAGTCAGCATAAAATAATTTTAAACGATTACGCCATTCCGTATTCGATATTCGTTGAATTTTTATTGTAATTCGTGCCTCGTGTTTCAAATATCGATTAACGTGATCCTACGATGTATGTGCAATATAGATCTATACCGAGGGCTAAGATTAAAGAAGCGAGAACCAGCAAATAGCCTTAGATACTGATTGACGTTACCTGAAAATATTCTGAAGAAGCTAGCGAGTCTTTACGGAAATTAAACAACGAAGATTTTCTTTAATGAAATTTTGCTTCGTTTCAAGTATTCCAACGAGAAAAAGTGGCGAATAGGATAGAATGAAGCTTACATCGTGTGAAAGGGAAGCGAGAGAAGAGGTAGTGGCTGCAAGTCCAACGTCCCGAGGGTCCATCCCTAGGGCTGCCCCTAATTTTAAAGCGTATATCCCGGTTAACCGTCGGAGGGACTGCAATCTGAGACGAAGTTCCTGTAGGCGTGCTCTGGTTTCGCCTTTCTCGTCCAATAATTGATTGGCTGACTCTTGAAGCGACAGAACTCGAGGCTCGCATCGCTCCAAATCACTTCTCAATTCCCTGAAAGGAAATATTTTTTTTTAAATGATAAATCTTTTTTCTAACAATACGTATTGGCTATACGTATTGCTGTCGAATAATTTTATTTATTTGTACAATTATTTAATAGTTAATATTATAAAAAAAATTCAAGATTTGAAAAGTTATCGTAAAAAACATCGAATTGGTCACGAAAAATACAATTTATTTCTTTAACATCTCAAAGACATACCTGAATTTATTGTATTTTGCAGTCATAATTTCCGGCGACTCGGTCAAATCGACCGGTTCGCTGGCCCGTATATTAGCTTCAGTTTTCTCCAACCAGGTAACCAATTCCTCTATAATACGATGGAATTGCTGGTTCGACATTAGTGCAGTCTGCAATTGTTCCTGCCAATGCGCAGCCACTTTGCAAACCTTGACCCATCTCGTATTCGCAACAGCTAATCTGTCTCTGAGCTGCGTTGCTCGAAGCAGTTCTTCCGAGTGATCGGCTAAATGTGCGCCAACGGTGTTCAGACCGGCAAGAATACTTTCGTGACAGTCTAAATCGAGCACAAATTCTCTGTGATCTTGTATAACATCCTCCAATTGTTCGATATTGCCAGGTGGCGAATGTTGGGCGCTTTGGGTGCCTTCTGCGAATTCCAGCCATTTTTCCAACCTCCAAAGATCGTTCTCCAATTGGGCCCAGTTGCGACGCGAACATAGGGGACAGGTTAATCTGCCATTGTCGCTGTAAATAATAAAATTTCACGTTTTTCACGCGGTTCTTTTTAATTTATATATTTGAATAACATGCTAATAAAGATACAAAGTTTGCTACGGGAAAAGCAGGTATGAAATAAGCGAGGATTGTTAACGAACGTTAATGAGAAATTGTTAGTGTGAAAAGGGAACACTCACTGATCGCAGGGAGAGGTGTAAACGTCGGAGTTAGGTGACCTGCGCGTAAAAAATTTCTTATTTTAATATGGACTTGATGATTTTTGTCAAACAATAGATACAAACAGATACGTGTAACGATGTTAGAGGATTAATTGTTCTCGTTTTATGTAGAGGAGGCTTTACCTGAGTTCTCTGATTTGTTGTTCTCGCGTTCTCGCCAATATAAGAAGATTTTCGTATCTTTCCGTTAACGCAGCCACCTCGTTAGCCTTGGCGGCTTGCGCGCTCAATTTTCCATCTTCTGTGAGCAAACTGTGCAAATGACGAACCAGCTCGATCGACGATTGACAGCTTCCGATTAATTTACTCTATCGAATAAAAAATTAATAAATTTACAAAAATTTATATAGAGAATTTAAATTTTATTTTTCTAGATTTTGTTATAAGAAAGAAAAATGAATTTACACAATGAATAACAAATATCGTTTCAAACTTACGATATTTTTAGCAGTCGCATTTAATCCAGGTCCAGCAACAGGATCCGGGGTAATCGCTAATTGCAATGTATCCAATGCATCGCTGCACTCGACCAGAGCAGCTTCCAATTCCATTAGGTATGCGTCACTAGAAGTCATTCGTAATAACCTAGGCAACGTATCCACTTGAACCGCACTGTCCTGTTCGAATTTCAACGTTTCCACTTGCACAGCCTCGTCGACTTCAGATTTCTCTTGTCCCTCTATTTCCGCTCTTAACGACGCCACTCTCTTCTTGATGTCCTTCCACAACAGCTGGTACTCGTCCACCAGTTCTTGGATATTCGCCACGTCATCCGGATGACATTCTTGCATAACCTTAAGCGCCAATTCATCCGCTTTCTGCAACGTGATGTTCTGAGTGCGAAGTTCTTCCTCGATCTCGTTCAATTGCTGCAGCCTACGACGAATCGACGCTTTCTGTTCCGGCGTGGCCAGATGTTGCGTCCTGGTCAATCGAACGTCGACTTGCGTCAGTCCAACGACCGCCGCGCCGTGCACCGTGATAAAGTCTCGATAATTCTTTTGTCCTTTCTGAAGAGCCAATAGAACGGCATTCGCTCTAGGCTTAAACGTTTGCCATTTATCGATAAGCCGCCTAGTTTCGCTGATAAGCGATTTCAGATTATCTGGTTCTAGACCCGTTCTAGCTAAACGTCCAAAGTTTTGCTCGATTATTTTTATCACCGGTTCGTGCGCCTCTACGTCCTCAGATATGCTTCTCGCTTTTTCGATAGCCTTCTTAGACTCGTCCTTCGAAACTTCGTCCAAGTTGTTCTCCAATTCCGTGAGAGCCTTGTCCGTTTCCGCGAGCCAACCTTCGTGCTCCAACCTGATCTTCTCCAATTCCTGCAGAATTTTCCACGCGAGAATGATATTCCCCTTTCTCTCTGCCGATTTCACGCAGGTGGTCGTCCATCTACGCTCCAAACCTTCCATTCCGCTCTTGATCGCGTTGTTGAAGGAAGTTTTCCACGCGTCGCAGTCGTTCAACAGAATCTCGCAGAGATTCAACACCTCGCCGATATTTCCGCTTTCCGCCTCGATCGTCTTCTGAAGATGTTCGTGATCGTCTAGCTTCTTGTCGATGCAACTTTGCTCGATCGCCTCGACCACGAACGTCTCCGACAATTGACTTTCAACGCTGGCCAGCCAGCTTCTCAACTCGTTTATCCTCTTCTCCAACGTGCTCATCGTCCTCATCAAGTCCATCAATTTACTAGCTCTCGCTTTTCCCATAGCCACCAGTCGATCCCACCTCTCGTTCAACTCGTCCAGGGATCGTTGCAACCTTTCGCTCTCCTCTTCCTCCGCTACTTCTACCAAATCTTGTCCAGTGTTCTGTATCCACAATAATTCTCGCTGTTTCAACGCGATATCCGATTGTATCTCGCATTCCAATTTTTTGAGAGTTTCTTCGGGCTCGTTCGGCGAGTCGCAATCTTGGATTCTGATCTCAGTTTCTCCTATCCACGCGAGTAACCTGGCTAATCTGTCCCTCCACCGATCGTAGAGACCGCAACGCTCTTCCAATCTACATATCAGCAACGCTGCCTGATGTTCCAGGTCCTCGTGCTGCAGTCGGAAAAGCGCCCGTTGCTCGTTCAACGATTTCACGTCAGTCGGACTGAGATCCTCTCTCAATTGTTGTATCATCACGCCCAAGGATTCCAAATCTATGCTCATTGAGGACAATCTGTTCTGCATCTGGTGTATAGATTCCAATTGCTGTTTCGTCCTCGCCAAACTAGCAGGACTCGAGTGAAACGCAGTACTGAAAGCTTGACCGATCTCGGTGAACGTGCTATTGATATCCTTCGCCTTCTCCTCGTATTCCTTGTATCGTTTCTGTATCCTCGGGATGTGATCCCTCCACATCTCCAGGCTGGAGCTCAGATTGTTGATTCTTTGTACGCTGGCCGCATGATCCCTGTGTATGGTCACGGCTAATGCCTCGTCGCATTTGACTAGCAGCGTCTCTTGTTGCCTCTGCAGAGATTCCAGTTGGGCTTCGCCTTCGGGTATCTTGTCCAGCAATGACTCTATCCTCTGCAGAATTTCGTCCAACCTCTGTATTTGGATGAATCTGAAGCGTAACTGGCTTCGTTCTCTTTCGATCTCTTTCAGCCAGTACAAGAGTTTACTCTGATCCAATTTGTACTGATCCCACGCGGCCAATCTGTCGCGTACAGCCGCGTGTCTCTCCATGATCTTGGCCAGAGTTTCATTGTGTTGATTCGTCAGAATGTTGAATTGTTCCGTTTTCGACAAATTGCCCCCCTCTTCCGCTCGAACCGTGAGAATGAGATTCTGTTGATCGGTGAGAAGATTCTGATGAACCTCGCAGAGGTTTCTGTGCTCCGACAAACCGTTGTAATCGCCGGGTACATCGTTGGAAAGGAAATCTTGTACGTAGAACAAGTACTCTTGCCAAAGTTTCAAAGCAGTGGCACCATCCTGCGTTTTGACTAGAAGAGCCGACAAGCGGTGATACTGTTGGAAGGTTTCTCTGAAGACCTTCTGCCATAGTTTCAACACCTCGACAACCGACGGTTCTTGCGTCGTTACCTCCACTAGGCTGCGTTCCTTGATCGATTGTAGCTGCGGTTCCGTGCAGGTGAGAGCAAGAAGATGATTGCGGAGGAGTTCCAGTTGCTCTTTCGACTCGCCCTGACCCACCGCGGTCAGGCTCTGGAGAAAGAGAAGAGATCTCGTAAAATAAGTGCGGTAAACAACGAAGAATCCTTCATCCTTCGTTTGTTCGGATCGATTAATTATTTTCGATGAAGGATAGATAGATAGATAGATAATGAAACAAAATTAAAACGTAGTTTAATTCTAAGATTTTCGTGAATATCGTTAGACGCGGTAGAAGAATTATTTAAAGCAATGGATTTATTTCACACAAAGAACCTAGCTACCATAAGAAAAGAATACTTCCAAGAACAAAAAAGGCGTATAAAATTGACGAAGGTGAATCATCTCAATTCTCCCGCCTTATCTCGAGTGCGCTCCACTTCGACGTTCGTCTTTATCCATCCATTTTGCCCGCCTTTGAAGTTCCCTAACCCGTGTCCTTGGATATTTCCATCGACAAGCGACGAGTCATATCGCGGACGATCCACAGAGAGTGGTGGTATTCGATCGGAAACGGTGGTGCGCAATCGAGTCCCGCATTCCTTCACAGAGTCTAGGGGCGAAAGTTTCGAGCCGAGAGGGTGCACGGCCGAATCCAGCTGTTGCGGATTTCGTGACTGATGTAATTGCCACTAGCGGGCTCAAGCCCTTCGGCCTTGACACAACAAAGTGTTTCGGAACTACCGCGATTAAAATATAAACGCGCGTGCGAGGTATAATGATCGGGCCTGTGCCAAGCACCAATAGCCACGCCGGAAACTGATGGACGCGTGTACAATGATACACAGGAGGAATCACCTTGACAGACAGTTCTGTAATCCGTGAACACGCCGACTTTTTATTTTTTTATTTTTAAATTTCAAACGTATCCTATCACAACCAAGATTCTTTCGTTCGTTCCAACACGCTTCCTTCCACTAGGGCTTACTTAGCTTGCACGATAATAAAAATAGCTGTCTGGTTGATATATCCTCTAGCATGTGATCTAGTGTATTTTTGGGACACTCGAAAATTTGGAGATTGTTGAAAAATTAAACTGAGAGAGAAGAGTTAGGTATATTGGATCGAAAGATGAATTGATATTTTGTCGGATGCTATTATATTTGTGTAAACTATCGAGATACACGTTATAGAAGAAAATAGGTTGTAGAAAGAAAGTAGAATCTGTAAGGTTTCGCGAGCATGAAACATGTTGTGCTTCCAGATGGATCCTCGAAGGCCAGAATAAGAGAGCACATGCTCTGTACCTCTGCGAGTATAAAGCTACTTTAGAACCCTCGTTTCTCAGAAACACGCCCTATGGAATTCGGACTGCGTACTACGTTAATTCACGTTCTCTGCATCTCGAGAATTAACAATTCTCGAGTTTGCCGATTCGATAGTTTGATCTTTAATTTTTTACTTTTATTTAAAAGTCGAAATTTTCAAAATTTTACAAATATGAAAATAGAAATTGAATCATGCTTATTTTATTTTATTTATTTATTTTTTTTTTAATATATATTTCGATATTGGAATATATTTCAAAATTCCGATTTTCACTCAAATTCTAAAGTCGTACAGTGACCTCTGTCGAGGAAGAGTTAGATCGCTTGTTCGTAATAATGTCTGACGCTAATTTAAATAAACACGAATGGTACCGCATACCATACAGTATTAAGCGCACGTGTCAACAAGTTTTCCACGATATCCATAGCACAGAGAGCCAAATATTTACCAAACTTAATTACTTCCCGTCCAAATTTCCTAAGGATTTGTTTTTCATCGAACGCATAATCCAAAATTATCATATATAATTCGTATATTTTCTTTCTTATTTAGTAACAATTGTATTTTCAGACCATTGAAAATGCTAATAATAAATTACAACGTTTCTAACATTTAATGAATTATTCAGTACCTTCAATGCTTTATCTTGTCACGATTAGACTACTTACAATTAGCTTATATCAGACTATTATTATATGTTATATTTATTTATTTCAAATAATTATGTGTAAACAATTCGTATATTAAATCGTTGATTTTTTAATCTATTAAATACAATATAAAATTAAAAATCAATGAAACGAGTATAATTTCGAAAACGCGATAAAAATTCAAAATTATTATTGTATTTCTCAAATACAGTCTGAAATAAGATGATAACTATCTAATATTTTTGTCTACAAAAAATATTTATTATAAGGAACTTCGAAAAGAAATCTCATTACATTCTATCTATCCGTTACGTTACGCAATCCAAATCCAGGATCAACTCGAAATGGAAAAATCAAAATGTCTCTGGTTGAAGTAGGCAGCATTTTTAGATAAGATAAAAGAAAAAAGGAAGGATTACGTAATTTACTTGCCTGTTGGACCGAATCCAGAAAACTTTTCGTCTGACATAAATCACCACGTGCGAGCTCTTGGTTGAGAGCGCGGGCGTGCGCCGCATCCGCGAGGCACGATAACGTTTCACGGATATCCTCGAGACGTTGTCCAAGTGCCTCCACTTCGCAGTGCAACGGTCCACTCGCGTCCAACCCGACGTCCGATGCGATTTGCGCCACCAGGCCTTGAAGCTCCGCCAACCTTTCCTTGTGCTCCGCCATCGTCTCCTCGCAAACCTGTCGAAAAGTGAAATAACTCTTAGCCTCGATGATCTGAACGCTTTTAATCCTTTCGTAACCGTGGAATGGTATTTTTATGTAATGGTATTCATATAATGCCGTGGAAAGCATGCGAAGTGACGTTTTATTTGGGTTTCATAATATAATTGTGAGTTGACGATTGGAATTATTGTCTTTTGGATTATCTTAAATAATTTTCATTTTTATTTGAAAAAGTTTGAAATGCTTGATTTTATGAATATGATGGAAATGACGAGAAGCGTTCTAAAAGTTTTTCAAATAAATAAGAAAGGATTAAAGAATGATTCACTCTGCTTAAAGAAGGTTAATACGTTTACCTGAGTTTATAATTTGAGAAATTTAGGAAGGAATTAATAATGGTAAACAGGATATATTTCTTAAGAGAAATTCTTTTAGGTTTTTTTTCGTGATATTTATGTAGATATTCTATATATCTATTTGAATTGCAAATGAAATTTCTTCATGTTCTTCGTATAATTGGTGAACAAATATTAACTAAAAAAAACGATACAAATGTACTACTAGTTTTTATCTATATTCCAGGTGTCTTACCAAATTAGTGGTAATTAGAAATATAGTGATTAAACAAAGCGTTTTAGTTTCGAGTTGTTATCATACTTTCGTGCTCGTTATAGAATTCCGGTAACCTGTTAAATACACGTCAGAGATAGGAGAGTTGACTCTACGAACTAGAAATAGACGTTTGTTATTGCTCGAAAAATAAAACTGAAGATAGGGAAATTGATTGACAAGTGATATTATTCGTGTACTTTTTGAAATTCGAAATTCGTTTTTGACCAACAGTAAGTACAAAGAGACACGTGTATATAAAGGAGAATACGTGAATGATGTACGATTATAATAAGAAAGAAAGATATAATAAGAGAGGAAGTATCGTAGAAAAAAAAAAAATGGAGCGAGTATAAAATTTGATACGATCGAATTTTCGGTCACACTTTTTACTTTTGTGCATTATACGTTAACGATACGCACGGTTATTATCTTTTTAACGTAAAATTATTATCTTTTGTGTAAAATTAAAACAATTTTTTTCGATTCACAGATTCACTATTCACAGATATAATTAGCTTTATCAATAATATAAGAATCAAGATGCACGATAGTTTGATAACAGTCGCTTAATTGCATCTTCCGATAAGAGAACTTGGCAATATATTACGTTAAAATGTCGAATGAAAACTACAATTTAGTTAGATTAGAGCATAATGTCATGCACAAAGACGCAGAAATTCTATTCCAGTTCGTTGCATCACACGTGCACTGGATTATTCAGTTCCGACACAAAATTATCCCACGTATCGGATGTGGTATGTATTATCGACAGTAGTAAAGTTGTAAATAGAATCACACCTTACAGATGAAATATATTAATATAAGAAAAAAAATCTCGTTACATTAATGTAAATACAATACAATCAATATGTAAATTTTAAACAAATAAAAATTAAAATTGTAGACATTATCACGATGCAAATTTCAAAGAAAAACAATTTTCAAAGAAGTACAATTTATGTTAAAAGCTATATTATCACATAAATTTTAATCGCTCGAGTAAAAACAACGGTATTATATTATATCAATTCCAATTATAATAAATTAATTTAAATCGAAGCAAAAACAACATCACCACGTGTAACATTTCAAATGTTCAAGAGTCGTAAAAATCGATATCCGTATTGCACAGATTAATAAAAGAAAAATGACACTTCCGATATCGCAGAATTCTTCCTTCGATCGTACCTTTAATTCCTCGGGCGTGCACATGTTTCTCAATTTAGATCACCGTTCATTCCTATTTTTCATAACGCGTCACGCGTACATCATCCGCGTAAGAACGAATCGACAGAAGCAGATAGGGCACGTGTCGTCCCGACTTCGAACACATGCTTCGAATTTTTGATTAACCGGAAACTGGCCACGATCGTCAGCCACCGTCCACAGTTCGCGCATAATCGCGCGAACCGCTGTTTTCGAAACGTGTTTACGCGCGATGAACCTCTTTTATCGGTGGTCTCGCCGCGATAAAAATACTCGTGGAAACGTTGGATAGAGAGACGCGAATAATACTCGTGCAGATAGATGAGAGAAACAAGCGTCCCGACGCTCTGGACCAGACTGGCGTCCTCGTCTTCGAGGATCGATGCGCATATCCCGAGAACTGAGTGGGGATAGACTCTGTTGCCCCGTATTTCAACGACCTACCCTCGCACGTTTCGGCGCACTTGCGTAGGGTGAATCGTGCTCTTCTCTACGTGCTGCACTATAGGCGTGGTGGGGACGATGACACTACCCCGAACCTTCCATTCAAGGGATAGACGCTGACCTTTTGAGCCACGCACACAGCTTTGTTTGAGGATTTTTTTCTTCTCTATAGATATTTTTTTTTGTCGTAGCGATGAAGTCACGACTTTTGTTTTTTTTTTTTTCTTTATCGAAAATATTTCGATTTAATTTTGTTTGAATAATTTTGTTTCAATCAATTTGATAAAGATGGAATGATTCTTTGGCAGAAGCGAATTTTGTGTATGGTTCGATAATGCATACGAATGAGAAATTATATCGTAATGGCGTATATAAATCTTTCTGAACTACTTTCTATTAACGTGAGATAGTAACGAGCAAAGCAACTCGAGGATTGTATTGTGTAAAAAATTGATTCACGAACATTCGAGTGAAGATATCTATAGAATTGAATATGTTTGAAATTATTTACTCGCTGTTTCTTTACATTTACATTTGTTTAACATTTCAATACATCTGACTAATTTTATTACCTTGGGAGTTTACTTCCCATAACCACTTTTCTTATGGTATTCATTAAGCAGGCTGTAAATGAGTCACGTTTCTCAGACCAATCGACTCTGAATCAGTCGAAATACAATAGAATCGGTTTAAAAATTGCAACAAAGATAACACGAATTTTCGATTATCTGAGAATTACAGAAAATTACGAGTTTTCAAATCCGATGACTCGAATGTTATATATAGATTTACAGAAACTTTCCGTCTTTATTTTTTTCTTGTTTTTTTTTTCTTCTCAATTCTCAATCTCTTTCGCTCAACTCTTTCTTTCTATTTTCATGATAAGACTCTATCTCATGTTTCCTCTCCTCTCGGTTAGATAAAACTTGTATCATCATTTATTGTTTTACCACTCAACGAAGCAGTCAAATAAATAATCAGTAAGTGAGAGTGTTACTTTCAATGGGTAATATTTATGAATGCAATTCTTTGAGGATGAAAGAATTTATAAGGAATGATTCAGAGCGATGAAAATGCGATTCAAATATATGCGTATATATAAGTATGTAATGTAGAATGTAAAAGAGATTTAAAAGAAATTGTTTGAGTTTTAAATATTTCCTAAGATTACATATCTTACGAACGAAGGATGCGCATCAAAATGGATATTATGTATAATATTACTTTGGATTTGGATGAATTATAAATAATATTTTGGAATATTATTTCGAATAGATTTTATGTTCAATGTACTCTCAAATCTTTTTCTTTTCTTAATATATTCAAAAATGAAATTTCAAGTAGAATCCAAGGATACCTACCATTTCCCTTTCTTCTTCCTTGATTGAAATTTTTTACGAGAAATATTTAAAAATATTTACAATGTACTCGATCCACCGCTATCGGACATATGTGCAAATTTTTGAAAATGTTCACGATACCTTGATGTGTTTGACGGCCTCTTCAGGTGGAAGGTTGGCGACGCTGTCCATTTGCGTGTCCACCCAGGCCTTAACCGCAGCACTCGAGTCTTTGTACTGTTGCCACAATCTGCACGCGTGCTGATACTTGGTGCAAAGGGCATCTAATTCGGCCCTGGTATCCTCCCAGGCCTGTACGGCCTCATTTACCGCCGCTTCGACCTTCTCGCGGACCTCTGCAGCGCAACCCTCCCGCAGAGGTTCGGCAGCTTCTCGCAATTCGCCAATGAGAACTTCTCGCGCACCCAAATCACCGCTGAGACCCTGCAACAGATAAAATATCTCGGTTTTTCATATCATACGCATTAACGTTTTTTGCTCGTGCCTTCGTTTCTTTTCCTTCTCGTTTCGAATTAAATTCGAGCGTTGAATGAATGCAATTGTGAAACACTGATGAGAGATTTAAAAGAATTCTTTGGTAAAAAAGTTATACTACGTTGAATATTTCGATTCTCATGGATATTGAATATTTCTATCTTTGAAAACGATACAATTGAAAAACAGTGTTTCAAGGAATAACAGAGAATTATTTTCGAATATGAAAGATACGTCATCTTGTTATATTAAAATTAGCGATTTATTTAAGATTGAAAAAAAGCAGTTTTGATGAAGAAGTTATTCTATGATTTTTTATAATTACATTTCCATGCATTCTCCCTTCTACTTCTTACATTCTTGGAATCTCGGTTCTGCCTTTCGATTCAAGAAATTTCCCCGTTAAATCAACAATACTCCCAATTTAGATCGTTCAATGTATCAACGTTGTGCACGACTTGAAAGGAAAACATTTTGTTAATGGTAGCTCGAGCTTTTTCAGTTCGTTACATCAATATTGAACAATGTATCTCTATTTATTAGAGATTAATTTCTAAGGAAAAATTATCGAATCGATGAAAGAAAGGATTATATCACATCGATGTTTCTTCTTTTTATTAGAACCGATATACGTATCAATTAATTTGAAACCCGCATTTGATCGGGTTTGTTTAATCAATTTATTTATCTTTACGCATCAAAGAATTCGCACAGAGAGGCTTCTTCTATCTGTCTTAGGGTTCTAATGAAACTTTAATTGATTTTGTACAGCCGATTAACCGTCTTCTCGTTCAATTTCTTACTTTCATCTTGCAGTTATTTTTTATTTTTTACGATATATCTGCATATTAATACAGAAAATATTAAGATAACCGAGAATAACTTATTCGGATAGTGATTTCATCGTATATCGGCTGCTTGATAGAATAAACATACTAACCAGAGAAAATACACTTTGCACGCGTTTCATGTTTATTACTAATGATTAAAATTATCTGTGACGTACGACCCGTGATATTTTACATCGATACGAGGAGGTTCTCGCCTTTATTCCTTTCGATCACGTGGAATCGTCAAGTCGTTACATAATATCGAAAACAAGGATAATAAATTTTGAAAAGAACAGAAAGGAAAACGTCGAACATTGTTTCATTGTTTCGTCGAAATAAATAATAATTGAACAATCAATATGTTGGCCGACAATCTTTCGTTTAATTGCGACTATTTAAGCGATTAACTTAGAAGACCTTTGAAAGATCGCTTCTTAATTCTCTTTCGTCATTCATAATTACATACGTTAGCATATTTTATCCATTTGAATAAATATTTACGCAAAGAATATTTAAAATTAACTAACTTACTACGTAACTTCTTTAATTATTACGTAAAAAGAAATTACAGCCTTTCTTTCTGCAGACTTTGCAAATGAGTATTGGCAAATAGTTGCTAGAAAATCTCTGACATCTTGTCGTCGTGTAATCATCTAAGATTTTTAAGTTTTTCTGTTAATGTTAATTCTTATAAAATTATTTTTTTATATACTATATTTCAAGAAATATCTTATATTAAATTATAAATTTTTTCCAATGATAATGACAACTGTATTCTAACGGAAAAAAAGAACAATTTTCTACGAGAAAGACTGTTATAAACTTAGCATATTCTTTAAATAGAAATCTCTTCCCGAAGAATTTCAATTCGATTTGATATTTCAACTCGTTGGAAAGATCTAGTGGTCCGAATGCTCGTATATCTCGAAGAATGCAAGATCGACGCGATATTCGCAGCATCGTATGGATCGTAGTATCCGGGTGTAGATCGTTGGTATTAGTCAAAGAATGCACATGCCGGTTTCCCTTAAATACGCACTATAAATAATTTTGAGTCACGAGACTAGAAAGCACGTTTCGAGGCCCGCGCCTCGAATTCGGTCAGAGCGTGGTTGGACTAATTTTGTGTCGTGTACTCGAGTTCGTTCACCTGGCTGAGGGTTTTCCGGCGAAACCGTAAGCGGAAATCGAATCTCTGCCAATGCGTCTCTCTCGATACTGTGAAACCTCGCGTTACCTCGAGCAATTTATTTATCGATTTTGTTCAGCCATTTTGTAATTGAACAGCCTGGCAAAGAATTACCACATGCAACAATATTGTAAGGTACAGAGTTTTATGAGAAATAATTATTCTGAGAGAATTCGATGCATAATGCATAATGAATAATTATTTTTTAAATAATATTTTGAAATTTTAGCCTACAAAAGCCTCGTTTTTATTATATTTCATATTTTTTATTATTGATGATACATTTTTTATTCAGCCTTCATTGATATTTTCGAGCTCTTGTCTCTTTTCATTTCCATCACGCTTCACTGACTGCTAGAATGCACAGACGCCATAAACTATACGATACTTTGTAAGCCTCTAAATTTAGAAGCTCTTATTTTACGTGAAAACAACCAAAGATTTATAAATTTGCAAGGAGATTAAACGTGGACATCTTTTCTAATAAATATTTTGAATTTACTGAATTAAGTTTTCGTTTTCTTTTCATTATCGAAGAATTATAATCTCCTTCGATGTATATGTATATGTAATATGTATACGTAAATATGTATACGTAATAATAAAAATGTGCTCTCGTATTATATTGCAGGAATTAACCGACAGATTGAAAAAATAAAAATTGTTTTCACGCGTGTCACGTTCACGCTTCTTTCTCATTAAAGTCTTTAATTTTCCGTATTCAATGTTCAGTGAGAAATTTAGCTAATTTAATACTAAAGCGAGGTGAAGTTACTCTAAGTTTTGTTTAGTTAGGAACTATTACGTTTCGTGCACAAATTGCACTTGGAACTTGTAACAAAGAAAATTTGTTCCAATTTAATGCTCGTAACACGTTTTACTATCTTGAAACACTTATAATAAAATGACGATCGAAAAACTTGTGAAACGCGTGAATAATTCGGATAATTGACATTCGTTTCGTGTCTATTTCGAGCGATCAAGTGCCACGATGGCAGGCGATGATGCACTTGTCAATTTTAAGCTGATCGTCTCATTTTTTAGGTCGGAAGTTATTGAATACATCGACCTGCTCTGTTTGGAAATGTGGGCGCGGAATCGCGATAAGTAACGGAACAGGAAGTTGCGGCTGGCCTGCAGCTTCCGCTTTAAATGCTTGTATAGTACTTAAGATAATTTCTCGAAATAGTTTTCTTTTGATGTGAAATGTTCTGATATCATTAAAAATATATATGTAATTTAAAAGAATTCTCCTAGATGTGACTTCATTAACTATATTACATCATAGATTAATTATATTTAAACCATAGATTACAAAATATTTAACTATTCCTTTCTTTTAGAGGATTGATAAAATTTTGAATATTAAATTTAATCTAAAATGAAGTATGTTTTAAAATTAAATAAATCAAAACTCAACGATATCAATTGACGATAGTTAGATAAATATTTTAAAAAAATGCAATGAAGACGAAGTATTCACGATATTTTCTTACCAAAAATAGTTTAGTCGAAGTGAACGCAGACAAGGACGATTGATTGCGCGTGGAATAATAAAAGCAAGCATAAAAATGCACGATTAAACGTTATTGCGCGATATCATCGCATTTTAATATATGAATTCGTGAAAAATTTAGAAAACTGAAATTTAATTGATAACAATTGTTATACACAACAGAAAAGAAAATATTGTTTTTTTCTAGGTAAATTTATGTTTGACCACGTGGCATAGTTTACATATTATCATATCACTGCGTCATTTATCCCATCCGTTATGTCTGTGTCCACGTATAATTATATTATTTTAAATTAGTGAGTGTTTGCAATCTCACTTTTTTCGTCTTTATATTACATGCATTATGTATATTGTTCACGTGTTTATTGCGATGTAAATATAACAAAATGGAAGAATTTTACAAAATTGTCGTCTGTCGTGAGAAATGTAAATGAGAAATTAACGCATGGGATAACTCGATATTTGAAGGACGATTCATTTGGCCTGACGACCTGTTGTCGATTATTATATTTATTTTGCGATGAAATAATCGTAGCATTTTAATTCTACGTAATAGAAATTGAAGTTCTTTAAACACGAATAATTATTTTTAGTTACATTCACAATTTATCTACGATATTCTTCTGCCGAAACTAGAAATTATTATTTCGAGCACAGATGTTTACCACGTTTCTTTTGGAAATGAGTTATTTGTTTTAGTATATTTGTATACACTACTTTCCTCGACCGCGTTTCTGTTTGTGTGTACAATGAATTATGACACGCAGAATACGACGAAGAAACGAAATTCTATCAAGTTTTACATTATTTTATATTTTATATCATTCCACCGTTACGTGCATCTCTTATCAGTATTAAATCAATCAAAAGAAAAAAAGACCAGTAAAGATAAAATAAATAAACGTCTTTAAAATAACATTCAAAATTCTTATTACACATTTTAATGTAACAGTTCCAACGTTTCGAATCCGACACGTTTCTTATTTAATGATTCAAATATTCTACATTTAATGAATATTCAATCCTTACTTCCGATCAGCCGATTCGATGTGTCGAGCGCAAACATGCTCGACCGTCTGCAGTAATCGTCTGCCTCGATCGTTTCGTCGATTTTTCACACGGATCGGGTCACCGCAGTTCTTCATTCTTCTTCATTTCACGAATGTCAACGAAATTCTACGGTACACGGCTCGATATTTCCAGATTTGTCGATCCAAAGAGAGGAAGTGATTAGGATAGCGTTATAAAAACGGACACTCGCGTAACACTGGTCAAATATCGTCAATCACTGAACGAAGAAACAAGATCGTTGAAATCGCGCGCGAGAGATGTGTACGCAACGCCGGCACTCGTGCTACTGATTGATACGACGACCCCCGATAACGCCAAGTGTGGTAAGCGGCGACGCACATGCGCAAACCAAGACCGCGCTCTTTCCTTCGTACTCGATGGAAATAATCACGGAGAAAAATGCGTCTTCCGGTGAGAATACCGATCGATCGATTGCCTATGATGTTGCACGGGTGAATCCTTTTTTTAATCTCAATATATTTTTAAATTTGATATTTGTACTATATTTAAATCTGCATTGCTGTATTCGTGCAGAAGGGTGATTTACGTTTTATGAACTTTATTTTTTTCTTTTTTTTTTATATAAATTTTCTATATGTTTGTGAACATAAAATTATTTTTATATGACGAGGATATCGATAGATTTGCGATGCATAAAACGTTTTCAATTTTCGAATATTTACATACTCGATTTATCGTCTACATAGAACATAAAGGCACTAGTTCCTCGCAACGATTGAAAGTGTCGAGGGCGCGAGAAAGCAGGCCGGTCGATACGATTAGGTTAATTATTCAAACTTGTGCAAGTTTTAACGCATTCCGAGAGACTTTCAAGGAATGTTCGAATATAGGAGTGGAACGAGGCGTGTATTGTAAATCTTGGATACCTCGAATCGTTTCATCGACAACGTGAATCCACTCGATCAGAGAATTCTTCCTTAATTAATCGGAATTAGTTCGCGTGACGTAAGAATCCATCGAGAGCCGTTATACATCGCGTTTCCACAATCGATATAGAAATTAAAACTTACCTCTAGCCTTTCGGTAGCTTTCAGCAGCCTGTCGTAATCGACAGATCCTTGCACGGTTAACAACTCCATCATGTAATCAGCCTCCTGAACCGATTGCTGCACCATTTCCAGCTGTTTCTCGAATCTTCTCCATAGGGCAAGCCTGTTCTTCAATAACGCCAACAATCTCGAGCATCTGGACTCCAGATCGGTATGAGCATCTTGAAGATTCGAAATGTCTCGTTCCACGCTGACCGGAGAAACCGAGACTCTCATCACGGTGGGCAGGGTGTGTAATAATTGCCTGAGGCCCATAATATCCTGCCACAAGACCGCAAGCTCGTCAGCTACCGTTTGACATCGATCCACGGCAGCTGCGACCACGTCACTTCCCTGTCGTTCGCTTCCCTCGCATTGATCCAATATAGATGATTGCCGTTGATGGATTTTTCTAATACGGCTGAGGCCACGCTGAATTGCCTGAAGCCTTTCCCTAAGCAACTGCGCTGCATCCAATTCCTCGCTGATTTGACTCTCTATTCTGCGAGCCGAGGACAGCAACACACCGACCTTCTCGCTCTCCGCCACAGGAAGTAAACCTAGACGACCTAATTCGTCTTGGATCAAACAGATCCTGTCGAACAAGACTGTCAAGCGTTCGATATAAAGATCCAGCTCCTCCTCCGTCTTCAAAACACCGTGGAATCCATCGATCGTCACTCGTAACTCGTTCAATTCTCTCTCGAGTAATTTTAATTTTTCGTTGGATGATATCTCTTCGGAAGAGATATTTCGAGTCACTTGTTCTTGAATGGTGTTGATTTGTTGGGTCATGTCGTTCCACCGGTCTTGGAGCTCGCAATGGAACTGTCTTTGCAACATTTCATCCGATAAGGGAATTATTCTCAAGGCTTGCTCGAAACTGTTGTTAGCCTCCTCTCGAATGTTGTTATGGACTTCGTATTGCGCTTTCAATTCCTAGTAAGGAGACAAAATATTTAACGTAAAATAAAGATATTTTGAATTTTATAAATTAATTAAGAAAATTCTTTTTATCACTCACCCAGAATTGACGTATGTGACCTCCCGAAGGATCGCGCAAATTGTTCAATTCCTTCTCCACCGATGTCATCCAATTCTCCAATCGGTTCATTAACATTTCTTGATTAACCCAACTCTCTTTGAATGACAGCAATTTCCTTAACGACGATTCCACGTTATCTTGAAGTTTTACGATCACGTCTAAAGCTTCTCCGTAACGATCCTCGGGATCCTCGATGTTCACCAACTCCTCGAGACTTCGCGCTACGTTCAAAAGCTGAATAAGTCTTGCGTGATGTGTTGCAACGTCCGTTGCCAGAGACTGGAAGAAAAGAAAGAATTTGTTAATATCTCTTCTGCCAAAATTATTGAAAATTAAGAAATGCAAAATATCAAATATTTTATTATTGTAAACAATAATTGAAATTGTTTCGCGTCAAAAATAAAATACGAACTATTATTTATTTACTTCTGTTTTTTTTTTTTGTAAAAATGAAATAATTAACCTGATACAAGGAGATATATTGATCGTAATCGGACGACGTCACTGTTTGGAGATCAGGTACTCGTTGATGAGCAACTTGTAGCCATCCTCTCTCCTCCTTCACCCCCTGTTCCAAAAGAATCCATCTGGATGCTGCAAGAGCCATTTGCTGAGCTCTAGACGCGGCCTGATCCAACAACGATATAGCTCTACTGTGCAACTCTTCGTGAAGATCCGAGTATTTGGTTCTCGTTTCCGGATCAAGATTGCCTTCCAACGATTCCAAGATTCCTCGACAATGGTTCAAATTCACGAAAAATTTTCTGTGCTTCTGCATCTCCTCCTGTAAATGTTCCAAACTCATCACCGAGATAGGACTCTCTAATAAGTTCTCCGCGATTTCGGTGATCTGTGCGAATTCTCGCAAAGTTTGTTCGTATTCTTCGGCCAAGGCAAGAAGCTGAAGAAGTCGTTCGCGTTCGATGCATATCTCATGCTTGATTATCTTAGTCATCTCGTGGGCCGCGTAAGTCTCTTCCGGGATGTGCTTTCCAGGATAATCCCGCAATAATTCGTGAGATACGGTTAACAACGATGCGGTTTTCCACATGTGACATTGATTCATATTCTCTAATTTATCGAGCTCTTCGAGCTTCCTTTTCGTGGATGTTTCGAGCTCGATTATGTTGTTTAGATGTTTTCGTTGTTCCTCGATTAATCTATCAGAAAAAGAGAGAAAAAAAAAGATAGGAAATATAAATTCTTTTTTATCTTGTTATAAAATATAGAAAAAGAATCTTACCTGTACATGTTGTACACTCCGTTTACGAATTCATCCCATCTAGCAAGCTCGTTCGTAAGATATTTCTCCCCATCGTCAGTCGCGTCCTCGATCATTTTAACCTGATGCATGAGAGTATCCAGACATTCCTGCAAATTATTACGATCTTCTCTCGGATAATTCATCTCCACTAATTTCCAAACGTTATTCAGCTCTTGAATATTCTCTTCCACGTTTTCCACTTCGTCTCTCAGTTCGACATAGGTCTGATCATCGTGAGAAGGACCTGTAGGACATTCTTTGCTTAAGAAGATTCTGTACTCGATCGTCTCCAACCAAGTGGAAATTGTGTCTACGATGACAACGAGAGTTTCTTCCACAGTGATCGCATCTTTCTCTTGAGCAGCGTCCCTCAAGTGAGACAGTTCTTTCCTTATATCGGCAGCGCGCTCTTCGGCCAACTTTTCATTCGCCACTTTGTCCAAATGAGCGATATGAAGGATATTTCCAAGATGACTAGATTGTTTGGCATTTCGAAAACTTTGCATTCGATCAGAGATCGCTTTGGTCGTTTGACTGCTTTGCGTGATCTGATGTTGGGGTTGTTCGTATTCCGCAGTCTCAGCTATCAAGAAAGCCTTTGAACTCGCTCCTTTTTGTGGGACAACGTGCTGAGATAATTCCCATATCGAAGGTTGATCTTTTTCTGGTTTCTTAGACGATTCGCTGATAATATCCGCATAGGTTTTAATCTTGGGTCGATCGTCCTCTTGAGGAATTGATTCCACAGGAGAAAATGGTTCCTCCGTCGTGTCCATTGGTTCGGGAGAAGGCATGTGTGTAATTACTGGCATCTGTTGTACTTCTGCTTCCATAGGCGAGACTATCTTTTCTTTACCTAAAGTCCATACATCCTGAATCTCTTTAACGGTTATTGGCTCCGTTGCTATCGACAGCGGTATGGCAGCGGTCTCTATCTTTTCTTCAACTTCTTTCACTCTCTCTTCCGGTATAAACTTTGGAGATTCCTTCTGTACAGATTCGTCATTTTCAAAATCTTTTTCAGCATCTTCTCTAGGAGGTGACTTCTCCTTGCCCACATTTTTCTTAGCAACGTCGGAATAAGACAATTTCAGAGAAACATCTTTCGATTCTACAGGCTGTCCAAATATAGATTCCAGATCCTTTTCACTCGTCGCCGAAATTTCAATGGTTTTATGTCTCCTTTTACGTTTTTGTCTTTTCGCGACGCTACTGTCTTCTACTTTTCCCGTGATACTTAGATCTTCGGTAATAGTAGTATCTCGCGAACTATCGGTTAATTTACTAGTAGTGTCCGTAGTCTCATCGGGGCACAATTCTATGGTTGCCTGCAAACGAATCTCAAATCCAGCATCCGCTGTTTCCGTCTCCTCCAACGAAGGCGCCATCGTTTCTTCGCTTTCCGACTTAGGCTCTGTTACATCAGAGATACCCTGAGAGCTCTCATTCTTAATTCTTCTATTTTTAAAGGCTCCTCAATAACAGACACCGGTTCTGTTACTTCTTCAGTTTTCGTATCCACGTACTCCTTAGTTTCTTGTACTTGTACATCAGGTGCTACTGGAATTTCTGTAAGTATCAGAGGTGCCTTTATCTCCATCGACGCGTCAACCTCATCTATCATGGCCTCCACCAAGTTGCCTTTCTCATCTTCGACTACAAATTCTTTTTCTGAATCGGCAATTTGCACTCCATTTGTTTGTTGAGAAGACGTCACCAGCAACGGTTTCTTCTCTTCGATACTCGTTTGCTCACTTTTCTCCCGTGTTTCAGGAACGATCTGCACGCTTTCTTCTATCTGTTCTATTAATTCGCTTGTCTTTATTTGTATCGAGCTATCCAACGTTTCTATCTTCTCCGGCGTTATGGTCTGAGATTGTTCATCTATCGATCTCTTGATCTCTTCCAAGCTAGTCTGAGAAGATAACTCGCAAACCTCGACTTTCTCCGGAGCAAAAGTAACTGGACAAGTTTGAATCATGATTTCTTGAGTTGGCTCCGGTTGAATCGTCTGTGACTCAGTTTCGTGAGTTTCCGCTTGTCGTGGACTCTCCTCTGGTGTCGTTTGAGTTTCCATTACATCGACGATGGGCTGTTCTATTAGATCCGCCTGCACATTGAAGTCCAACGTTGTTATTTCTGGAGTGGTCGGTTTACTAGTTTGTGCTTCCGTTTCTATAGTTTTGGGTGTTTCAGGAGTTACCGTTTGAACAGCTATTCCAGTTAGAATCTTTTCTTCTGTTGGAGGTGGAGTAGTTTGTTGTTCAACGGCGACCACGACTTTTTCCGCGGTCTGCGTTTCAATTTCCATGGATGGCGCAGTGGGTGATGTTTGTGCTTCGATGGAAACTACTTCTGTGGCCACAGTTTGAACATGAATTTCCTCGGTTTCGATCGGAACAACTTCTGGCTTGATATCTTCGATTGGACTCGTTTGAACAGCATATTCTTCCATTTCTTTGACAGGTGATTCCATGGTCTGAGTACTTATTTCTTCAATTTTGGGCACCTCTTCTTCAACGGTTTGACCACTAAAATCTGAAGCTGGTAATGGCGATGTTTGCATTTCTGAGTGTTGTATAATCGGTTTTTCAGGTTCTGATTTCTCTTCCGATACAGTTTGCATACCGAAATCCGAAGCAGACAATGGAGAAGTTTGCATCTCCGCGTGAACTTCTTTCACTTTGGGTGTTTCAGACTTTTCCAATTCTTCTAGCGAAATTGGAGGAGAAGTTTGCACTTGTTCGTGAATCTCTTCGATTTTCAGTTTAACGTCTTCCAATAAATGGGGCGACGTTTGAACATAAATCTCTGATACCGTCTCCTGTTTCGGGGATGTAGCAATGGAGACACTGAATTCTCGAGGAACAGTTTGAGTATCTGCCATGATCATGATTGGAACGATTTTTTCTTTACCGAAGTCAATCTCTTCCCGTTTCTTTTTCTTCTTTTTCTTCTTCGTAGCTTTTGCATCCTCGCTTTCTGCCAGCGTCTCATCGTCCGTGAATTCTCCATCATCGGTGGTTGTCTTAGGGAATTCGGTTTGTTCTTCGTCCTTAGAACTTCGTACCCTCTGTTTCTTCTTCTTCCTCCTCTTCGTTTTCGTCACAGTTTCATCATCTGGTGTGGTTGTCACGATTGTTCTATCCGCCTCGTAACCATCTTCTCCTTCCGATGTTTCCTCTTTCAAATACAATTCTACTTCCCTAGATTCAAACATTTTCGCGATATCAGGTTGTGGTGCTTCGCTCACGTGCTTCGACGAATCAGACAACGGTACATCAATTTCCATCGAATCTCCAATGTTGGACACTAAAGAAACGCTCGATTTCGTTTCCATGGACAGCATCGGTGATTCAATCTGTTTTTCGATCTTCTTGTCCAATTGTATAATTGCTTCTGCTTCTGGTTCTACCGTAGATTCTGTCAAACATTCATCCTCTTTCTCTGATGTGATAACATGATCAGAAATTTCTTCTTTTTCTGAGGTGATGATTGATTTGTCAGTTTCTTCTTTTTCAGACATGACGATTTCTTTTTCTGAAGTAAGGATCGATTTGTCAGTCTCCTCTCTCTCAGATGTAATGATAGATTTATCCGATGTGACAATTTCTTTCTCTGAACCACCGACAGACTTATCTAAACCGATAACTTTAGATTCAATCATTGGTGGAGATGTTTGAACAATTTTGTCGTGAATCACCGAGATGCTCTCTTTGTCTGCTGGAAGTCTGATGTCGACATCTTCCTTCACTAAGCGATAAGGAGCCGCTTCCGGTTCAGATTGACTCCTCACTGACACTGTAGGTTGCATTTCTTCACCTTCTCTCTTTACAGCCAGAGATATCTCTACTTTATGGAAGATGGGTTTGTATTCCGGTTTCAGTGCCTCGTCCATGTAATCATCGATCGAATAATCGATCTCTGGAACGAAAGAATTCTTCACTATCTGCTGTTTCACGTCAATCGGTAATGCTTCCAGTTCCACATGCCTTTTCCTCTCGGTTGGTGTTGAAGTCGAAGGAACTATCTCTTCGATCTGAACTGGTCGTTCTTCTGAAACGTGAACTCTCTTTTGTACCTCCGTCGAAGCTAATTTTGTCAATGATTCTGATTTCTCTTTCATCCATTTTTCTATTGAAGATTTTTCTTCTAGGACAGGTACATCTACGGTGCCTCTAGTGTCATGGTGCTTTTCTACATCTACCGTGCGATCTTCTACCTCGATACGGAGTGTTTCTCTGCTTACTGGTGCATCGACAAACTTACAAGTCTCTTTAGTCACGCTCGCCAGGTCCTCTGACACGATAGATTCGATCGAAGATTTAGCTAACTCTTTCTGTACTTGTGATTCTTGTATCTTGATCTCTTGACTCGGGCTCTGCAAAGTAGCCGATACTTCAGCATCGATAAACGCCTGGCTGGTCGATTGAAGGAACTTTTTGCCATTTACCTCGACCAAAAAATGCTCGTGCTCGTACTTATCAGCTGGTGCAACTTTCTTTTCGATTATTTTTAATGATTTGTCACTTCTTTCACTCTGTAATAAAGATTCTTCTAGACCATGTAAAGATTCTTGAATGTCTGCAACTGAAAATTCCAATGGATTTTCCAAAGCCTTCTCTGATCGAACATTTATATCAATTTTTTCCTCCTTCTTTTCTGTTGTTAGAGTGTCTTTCTTGTCAGGCAATGGCTCCTCTCTCTCTGTTACTAAATAAGTCGTGCTTGGGTGCATATCTTTAGCAAATGCACCAAAGAATGGTCCTTGCATAGGTATATCATCAACAATTTTTTCCACTTTCGAATCTCTGTCCTCTTCATCTTCTTTCTCAGTAATATCCTCAACCACGATGCGATCCTTCTCTTCAATTCCTTCATCTTTACCAAGATTTCTTTGCTCCTCTTGCTTAATCACATTGATACTTATGTGTGGAATATTCTTTTCATCGATCTCCACTTCTTCAGGCTCCTCTATTATCTCCTCAGTGGCAGTTTCCTTACCATCGATGATAGTAACCTTTCTGATAATTCTTCTAGTCTTCCTAACCACTCTCCTAGTTACTTGTTGCACCACAGCGTGCACGCTAGAAGTTTTTGCCCGATATTCTCCACCTTCCATTAAAATTCCCTCTTCGAATGGTTGAGGACTGATGTCTCGAATGTGCCCTTGAGTCACCATATGCGTATATTGCGGAGATGACTCGTATTCATCCACATTCACATCTTTGAAAGGTGTACCGGTGGCTACTCTTCCTCCATGTATCTGTTTCGTAACAGTTTCTATTGTACCATCTGGTTTCGTGGTAGTTATAGTGACTTGTTGATCCTTCATGGTAGCCTCTGAGAAAGCCTGCACTACGGATGGAGCATCACCAATGGCGGTGGATGTCGAAGACAGATGTTGTTGAGTTGTTTGTCTACTAGTCATCGTAGTTCGCCTCAATTTCCTTACTATTATCCTCTTAGAACCATCTTCATCTACAACCACTTCGGTAGTCACGTCGTCAGGTTCGACCAAAACAGTCTCGAACGATTGTGGAGCAGCATGGACGATATTTAATTCACTGGTGGTGTTATCAGTGTTCGTGGGATCTTGATATTTCATGTCAACAACGATGTCTTCGGTTATTTGCTCGGGACGATCTTGAACGATTTCCTGAGCTGAAGTTGGCACGTTCTTCGTGGCTATCTCGATAACGTCGTGATCACCTTCCGTGGTTTTTAGAATCTTTATCGTTTCTTGGGTTTGCATGCTCTCCATGGCAGGGTGTACTGTGTCCACGGTTTGGGTAGTCAATGAATGACATTCTGTCGCGATCGGAATTTGATTGGTGGAAGTTTGTTTGGTGAGTTGTTGCGGTTTCTCGACGATCTCGTTGGCTAACAAACTTTGTCCTGTCTGCAAGGAAACGTCAGCTAGAGATGGCATATTACTTTCGAGGGAAGAATGAATCGAAGGTGCTTGATCGAGGGTAGCATCGTCTCGATCTGACGTTTCATCGGCTCGCGCTTCTTCGTCGCGAATTTCCTGAAAAATTGAAGAAACGATTCTCGTTCAAATTATCTAAATGATGTTCCTGATTGCTGGTTCTTCGGCTGTGAGAAAATTTTTTTTTCGAATTTTGTGCTATTAATAAAATTATTTTTAATTTTTCATAAATGCTAGTGTAAAATTTTGAACTCTCATAATAATAATATTAATTTATAAATAGTACTCGCATTAAAATAAAATATATAAAATTTATTCCGAACGTAAAATTGTTATTATAAGTTTTTCAATAATTTTTAATAATTTAATTGAATTTTATATTTATGACTTAAATATTCATTTTTTAATTTTTTAATAAAACTAAAAATTTCTTCTATTCAAAAGTTTTTAAAATCTTATCAAAGTTAAAATTTTATTATAGCAGTTAAGATTTAAATATATAATTTAAAAATGTATGATTAAAGCTTGAATAATGAAAACAATTAAATTTTGCTATTCGCATACTTTTACTTATTCTTTATTTTATATTTAGATAAAGAAAGTTTAGTATATTTCAGCGTCTCCAAAATGCTGATTATATAACAGAGCTAAAAGCAATGGCGTAGATAATAGTGGATCCTTCCATTATATAGCAAAATTTAATGCGCATTTGTTAATTAATAGCATTACGTTAATCACTGGTTTGTTATGTAAAAATTCATATCGGTTGTTATATGATTTGATGGTCATGATTTGACTATTTCATATCGGTATAGCTACACCTGCATTGTGTCCATAGAAACGGAGACGGAAGATTTTATTCAGAAAACATGATCATCAGAGAACGAGAACGAGAATATCCGCATACAAGAACACTCGGCGTTACACTGTCGTATTTTTAACTTGAAATGTTACGTTTGATTTTATTTTAATACGCGCTTATTTTAGTCGTCTTAAGAGTGCTATGCTTATATATAAATATTGAAAAGAAAAAAAATCCGTGATTTATTTATTATGATTTTCATAAATTAAACGAATTAAAATTTATGATAAAAGAATTAATTCTAAGAAGACAAGCGTAAAAATATAAATGAACAATAAAAAATAAGAAAAGAATTTTACTTTAAGAATTTCTAAAAAAGAAATGAATTTTGAATATCTTGTAATGGCAATGTTCCAAGAAGAAAATCGTTTCGTTATTATTTAACACATACACATATTTTATGGATACATATACATACAATACGTAGATTTTTTTTGGTGATATTGGGGGGATAAATAAAATAAAATGGGGGAGATGGGGATTAATGAGAATACTTTAATTACAGCATGAAAAAAATTACAGAATAATTGTATTAACATTCCATAAACAAATGCTGCAACTATACAATTACATCCATTACCTTAAGCTAGAAGGAACATAAATGTGCTAGTTATAAGTAGATATAAATAAATACACCATGAAATTATGAAGATAAGAAAGAGACTGTGCGATGAATGTAAAATGATTATATGTATATATATATATATATATATATATATATAATAAATAGTATTAG